CATCAAGTATATTTCTTACGTCAATTAATGTTCGTTCATGTTGTCCATGAAATGCATAGACACATAATAAAGAATAAATTCTTTCTAATGTTAATGATGTCATTGAACGAAGCATACCAAAGACAAAATTACATACAATCTAAAATAATATATTCAGAAACAAAACGAATAAAAACTTAAAACAACTAACTGTATGTTCATGTTCTTTTCTATCAGGTTCAGCTTGATGTTCAATATTCATATCGTCAACATCGACACTTAATAAAGCAGGTGCTTGAGATGAACTATTTGATGCTACTTTTGATGTATCTTCAACTAAACGAAATGTATCTTTTGCTTCTTCCTTTAATAAACCACAATTTTGCCAAAGATTTATTCGTTTACGTATACAAGCTGTTGAACATTTTAACGATGAACTTAAATCACTAATTGTCCAAGTATCTAAAAGAAATTTTCTCAGAATATTCCTGATTTTTTTTCTTTTGGTTTACCTTTTTCTTGAAATTTATAAATTATTGCTGCATGAAATGGTGTTACACTAAACTCTAATGTTTTACCACCAATTTCAATTTCAAGATTAACTTGCCCTAAAAACAACAAAACAAGAAAATCCTTTAAAATATAAAACTGTTAGCGCAATCTCTGCAGGGTTAAAATGTAGAACACGATGTAGCTGCTATTACTAATCATAAAGAGACTGTGATATGTGACAGTCTATGAGAGGTAGACATTTTTGCCCTTATATTTAAAAATTTCTTTTATATTGTGTTTCATCGAAAAAAAATCATTTGAATCTTACCATAATTAGGACTCCAGTGTAATGTTCGATGTGGTTTTAATGCTTCATATGCTGTTGTATAAACTGTTTGAATAGCTTTTAATTCATCTGGTAAATCAATAGGTGAAAATTTAACTTCTGGCCAATATTGACTTGATATAATTAATGTATTTATAGGCACACCAGCTGTACTAACAAGTGGAAAATGAACATGTGCTAATTGTTTTTTAACTAAATCATTCATTAAACGTGAATCAACATAATCTTTAAGCATAACATCACAGCCCTGTAAACCACCATCACCAAAACGTTGTTTTAATAAATCAACATAACGACCTTCATGTTCAATATCAACTTTATTCGATTGACCAGATAACATACGATCAGCTAACATATGAACGTATTCTTCAACAAATAATTCTGCATGACCATATATTGATACAAGCATTGACATTAAGTCACGAGAATGAGATGGACGAAGAGCACGTTCCGGAGCTAAAATAATTAATTAAAAAAATAATTCAAGTCTTTACAGAGTTCAATGAGACAATTAATACTCCATTTAATTTAAAATTCAATGGCATTATTCATTTCTCTCTGAGGGTATCGCGTTTTGTAACGAAAATTAGTAATATAAGCTAGCTGATTAATAGATATCAAGTACTTATATCAAGATCATCTATTGAAACTGTGCTTCAAATGCTTCTATTGATTTATAAGTTTTCGAGTTGGTCACTCAAAGAAAGACATTGCGAACTTCTAAGGAATAGAAGCACTGCAATCACACATAGTACCGATCATGCTCTTTTCAATGATATCTTCAGCTGTCTTTACTCTTGAGTTGGAACCTTCCTCTCATGTATAATTGATTGATGGCTGATCATGACGATTTGCAAAAACAAAAAGCTTTTATTGTTCTTCCAATACACTTGTAATTTACTATTGATATAGTCGGTTTCTATGAACTAGTTTGATCTACTTTTGTATAAAACAAACTAATAATAATAACACAATGAGAAAAATATCTTGAATCAATCAAGAACCTTAAAATTTTCAATACAACATATCTAATCTCATGCATAATAGGGTTTCAGTTTGAAATCTTGAACAATTTTTTTCTATCATTACAACCAAGCACTTTGCAATATGTTTTGTTTTTCATATGTAACAATAACTTTAGACAAAAGTAAATTTAAAACATCTATATCCATGTGCTTTGTTCAGGGAACAAAGAAGAAGTCCATTATGTAGGATAATTATATTTGAGATATACGATTATATCTTTTTTGACTGATTAAAAACTTACCTGTTAATGCTTCAATGGGTTCTGGTTCCCAGTCATCTTCAAGAAGACATTGACTTGATCGAATATTAGCACTACAATCAGCTATAAAAAAAAAAGGAAAATATGATTTATTTTCATTGGAAAACTTTCTTTAAATAATCAACGAACGTTGTGTTAATTCATTTAATTCTAATACACCATGTTCATTCATATTACTAACAATAACACGAATTGTATCTTCACGTCGTCTAAAACAAAAAAGAATTAATATATATATACTAATGTTAATACAGCAATGCATCTCTAGATGAACACCTTCTCATTCTGAGCAGTGGGCGCGTATATCTAGTTTGATGAGTAATAAAAACATCTTTAATGTGAGCAATATATGTTCTACTACTCACGTGCGTAACGAGAAAAAACTTATATTATGTGTATTGCGTTAAAAATAAACAATTATGGAATACACATGAAAAGATAATGGATGGTTGGTTTCTCAATAGAGAACGATGCAATTGCTTTTTTTGTTTAATTCCTTTCACCATTGAATAGATCTCTTCTTCTCGATACTGTTCACATTAGAGAAGTTTTACTGGAAAATAAAAAACGAATTGTTACATACGCTAAAAATTGTTTAACATTATGACATGCTAATTCCATCATTACACCAGTTGAATCAAGATAACGTAAAACTCGTATAGCATTAATAAATGCAGCTAAAATTTCTGTTGTTCCAACACCAGGATGTAAAAGTCGTTTATTAAATTCATTTCGTACATTATCAATAATTAAATGACGTTTACCAACAACAGATACACAACGTTTAAGATCATCTAATACTCCTCCATGTCGTGATTCAGGATAATCAATGATTATTTGAAACATATGACGAGCACCTCTTTCACGCATAATACATTCATATATATGATGTTTTAATTCTGTTCGACATGATGATAAATCAATTTTAAATGTTGATTGTTGTTTGTCATCATTATTATCATGATCATTATTACAATGAGATTCAAGTATACTAAGCCATGTTATTACACCTGTTTCAAACCACTAGAAAAAAAAGAAAAAATCGACATATTTTTTTATGTTTTGATCTATTGTGAAGTATAAAAACGTCGAATTAAACGAGAGTTACTAATCATCTGTTGCTATCAACCCTTTACTTCCTGTCACTAATCCAGTACAGTTTGTGTTGAAACAACTACAGGAATAGCTTATGCAGGTATTAATTATGATACTGGTATAGTTAAATTTGAGCATAGTTTGATTTTTTTTACGGCTTGTCACGGTTATTTAGTTACTTTAATTATGCTCAATAGTTTTAATAAAATTTTTTGTTAGGATGAAGATCGTGTTATTTATGATTTTATACCGTAAACAAAATTACTGCAGAAAAAAACATGCCTCATGTTACTTATTACCGAACGATTCAAAATGACCTAAGTCATCATGAAAAATACTACTTTCACTCTGAATCTACCTGAGTGTGATAGCGTGCGTTGAGAAAGAACTACAAGTTGGCAGAAATTTTGGTAAATTATGTAGTTCCAAAGAAATTTTCTTATTTGGAAATTTGAATACAGAAACGTATCTCTTATAGCAATAAAACCATAAGTTTCTTACACAGCTTCCGAAATTTATTTATTAATAGAATGTATCGAAACAACCCGTTCTTTTATTCAATCCTACAATTCATTACTTTTATGAATGAAAACGACTTCTATAATTGATAATTTTTTTTTTATATGACATTTTTGAATGACTAAATAAATTGATTTCTCTTTATTTTGAGAGTAAGGAAATTTTTCGTTTTAGCCACATACTCCGCAACTTTGAAGAACCGTCTTAATCCGATATTTCATTACTCCAAATAGGTAGTTTCTATGAACGTGTCAAAAATGATCGTGCAAGGGGTAAAATATTAACCATTTAAGAATAGTTTTCATTAATATACCTGTTCGAGATGTGGTAAACATGCATGTGATGAATATTGTTCACATATTTGTTTAATAAAATTAGTAATCCGATGTCGACATGCAGCTAATGCTGCACTTTGACACACACGAGAAAGAAGACCAAGACGTTTACTAAAACAAATAAGAAAATATCAATAAATCTGTTTGTTTTTATTTTTCTTACATAATTAAAATAATAATTTCAAATTGTTCTTGTAATTCGACACATTTACATCCAGATGATAATGGTAATTTACAAAATGAACAAGTTGTTGTATCTGTTGAATAAAAAAAAAAAAAGGAGACAAAAGACTTCAAAATAGAAAATATCTTTTTTCTTTAAACAAACTTTTTAATAATTCAGCACATGCAATTCGTGCATGTTGTGATGCATATGCAGCTAAATAATATTCGAATATATCAATAAATTTCTCATAAAATGTTGATTTAATTATATTTGTTGTATGTAATAACTGTTGTTTAACAGCATTATATGGTAATATAATCATAAAATCTTGAATATCAAATAATTTTAAATTATATTGATTTTCAAGTGTTTGAAATAATGTTTTAAGATAATTTTCTATATCAATTAATTGTTTATTAAAATTTATAAATGCTATATGATATGTAATTATTTTTTGTGTTGATACTTGTTCAATAGTTGTTATAAATTGTGATAAATAATTATCACGTACTAATGTTAATAAACCTGCTTTCACAACTGGTATAATTAAATCAAATTCATTTGATAAAATAAGATCATTTATTATTGTATTTAAACGATCCATAAATTTTTCTATGGAAAAGAAAAAAAAGCACTCGTATTGTTGTTAGTTTAAATTTTTCGAAAAAAAGAAAAGAAAAAAGAAGCATCACGATGTTTATTTCAAGACAATATAGGTCACTGTACACATTGCATTCGTCTGGAAACAGTCAAAAGAAAAAAAACAAACGGTAAAAGAATTATTTATCGAAGAAAATCTTGATTATAATTATGAATACGTTGTTCAAGTGATTGTTGTTGACTATTTAATTCAAACCATGTTACAATCGGTGTTTCAGCATTCATAGCTGCTTCGAATTGTTCCAAACTAAGTGTCCATTCATTATCTGTCGGTTCAGTATTTTTATTATCGACTTCTAATCCACGATAAGGTTTACACATTTCACCTTTTCATGAAAAAAAAAACAAAGTTGAGTTAATGCAAAATATATTGAGAAAAGAAAAAAACAAACCAGTTTTGAAGAGAACTGTACTTGAAGTTGTTAATGCTCGAAATAGATTTTCATCATCAGCATCACTTGTCATTAAATTGTACATTGATTTACATAAATTTATAAATTCAGTCTGAAAATAATCATATGAATAGTTTTATAAGTAATAATTACGATTTTAATAGCAAAGAATTGAAAAAGAATACAAGTTCATGAAATGTACTCCTTTCTCTATAGTATCTTTTAATTAAATTCTTTGAATGTTACAAGTTTTTTTATAAAATATAAAATCAAGAAAAATTTGTTCGTTTCTGAAGATTAATATTGATCGTATGTCCTTAAAAATCAGATTGCCTTTTCAAATCTAATGATTAATCCTCATATTTTTGTATATCGAATTTCAATAAAAAGGCATAGTTATAATTTTGCATTGTAATATGAATCTACTGAAATGTCGGCATTTCATACCAAGGATTATTCTTTTTCCTAAGGTGTTTTACTCTGACAGACTTAAAAACTTCAAAGCTATTTAAAATACTTAGTATTTGTTCAAACGATTGAGGAACTGAAACTATTCGTCTTGAGAAAGAAATGAACTACTTTATTTTCGAATCTTTTGCTATTATTACATTTCGTTATAGAACCTACATATATCATTATTTTAAATATAACATTTTCTGATACGAGTTCTAGCCGTTGTACTCTAGAGTAAGCTACTTCCGTTGTCTTAGACCTCTTGTAGAGAGTTATAGGCATTTTACCAAAATTTTAGCCTCTAATCGAATAACGATATTTCGATTATCAGTAGAGTGCCCTGAAAATTTCAGATCAAAAACACTTTTCGTTTTCGAGATATTAAAGTTCCACGAAACAAAGAATTCTAGCATTCTTCATTGAATATCAGTGGCCTTTTGAGACTTTAATGCCACGAGAAGGAAATATTCTTTTGAGCGAAAAATTTCAAACCATTCTACTGACAATAGAAATATCGTTATTCGATCAGAGGCTAAGATTCTAGTGAAATACCTCTAACTCTGCATGGAAGGTCTAAGGCGATTTATTCTTTGGAAGTTTTTCATATCTCATTGGAGTCTACTTCACGCGTCGAGTTCGAATTCAAAAACAATTCATCAGTTGAAAATTTTTTCCCGTTAGTTAAATGTCATCGTTTATAATCATCATTTAAAAGAGACACAAATATTGTACCTGACTCATTAGCGGCAATTGGCTGGGTTTAAGTTTAACAACTTCCTCTTCTTTTGTTTCCGATGATGAAGAATCGATTTCAGTAGATGTTGCTGATTCGGCTTGTTTATTATTATCAATAGTCATCGATATGGAAAGTACTGTAGTTGATTTTAGCAAAGTAGCAATTGCTTTTTCTCGTCGTCTTCCTTCTAAATATTGAAATTTACATTAAAATCTATTAATAAATTACCTAATATACCTTCAATATGAGCAATGAATAAAAGTTTTAATTTATCATTAAAATCTCCATTTAATAAAATATTCCATAAACGAATAAAATTAATAAAATCAATTTCATTTGAATTTGTTGATGTACAAAATACCTATGTAAGAAATAAATTGAACTAATAAAAATTACTTAAAAATTATTTTGTTTTTACATCAAATAATTTTTTTGCTAAATCTTCTGGATGTTCACCAATAAACCAAGGTGATAAATATTTACATAAAACTAAATATTCACTACGACCAATACGATATATTTCGTATGCTAATTTTTTTGGATCTATTGCTTCTGTTAATGATATGCGTGAAGCATCCTAAGAAAAGCAAAAAAAAAAATCATTTATTATTTTGCTTCGATTTCTTTTACTTTAAAAACATAAAAAAGATCTTTTATTTCATATTCAGTAAATAATGTATATTTTAATGTATTCTTTGCAGCTGATTGTAATATTGATTCACCCATTGTTTGTACAACTTTTAAACGATGTTTTAAACGTAAACGATTTATATCCTCTTCATTAATAGTATTATAATCCATATAAGATTTTTTTATTAAATATACTATTTGTTTTTCTTTTTCATTTTCATTTATATTTTCATCAGTTATACCATCTAAATATGATGTTAATATCATAATAGCATCACCATCATCTTGACATTGTAATAGACGATCTTGATTTTCTTTTAATATTGTTAATGCTAATTGAAAAAGAACTTTTATACCATCATAAAAAAATACATCAATTACATATAATGCAGATTCAAATGGTATTACACTAGATATAAAAAATAATTATATATGAAAAGAAAAATAATTGGAAATTTTTTGTTTTTTTCTTACCAAATAAATAATGTTAAAAACCATGAAAGACTTACACAAGCAGCAATACCAATAACTTTTAATTTGTCATATAAATCTGGTAAATATTCGTTACAATAATCATTAAAGACACCTACAAACAGAATAAATTAATTATTTATGCAGAATAGAAACCGTCAGATTTTTAGTGAACTATTCAGCAGGACGTAAAATGTAAAGAAATGAATTGTCTTCGAGTAAGAGCAAAAACCCAATGAAAACAATTTCTATACGATGGGAATTATTTTTCATATCAAATTGAGATCTTAGATTTGTTAAAAAAAAATAAATACTTTCGTCGAAGAAAAGTATAGTACATATTTGAATATGAACTACTGGTAGAATTTTTTTTTTAATTAAAATAAAGTATTTCTTTGCTGGACATTTAACTATATACGTATGAAAATTTTACATGATTTGTAAGTATAAGATCATAAATTTTACCTTGATCTATCAATGCACCAACTACTTTCATATTATAATAGTCCGGTAAAAGACGTTCACATAATGCTGCTAATGTCCAAAATGCGTCTTCTTCATTCATATGAAGTAAAAGTACACCGCCAATAATATTCATAGCTTGACAATAGCCTATAAAAAGAAAACTTTTGTTCATAAAATGTACAATGTATAATATCTACTTGCCAACATCAGTATTATGACGTGCATATGCTCGTAATAATCGTCGTAGTGCACTAATACCTGCTTCATGTTGAAAAGCTTTTTGATCAGGTAATGCACGATAAAGATCACGTTCAATTTCATCATTTGTTGAATCATGGTCAGTTTTAACAAGTGATGATTCATGAACTAATTTTTGATAAATATTTGAATTTGCTGCTTTCTACAACAAGAAAAGCAAATTAATTAAAAAGTAATCTATTGATAAAAACAAAAAATAAACCACTAACTTCATGAATAGCACCACTAAATATTAACCATAATTCATTACGTAATGAATCGGGTATACCTTGAAATATTAATTCATATAATTCATTTGTTCTATACATTGTTGCACCTCTTCCATATATTGCAAAATGTGTATTCCATAGATCTTCTTTTAATTTTTCTTGTATTTGTCGTTCTTCAGTATCATTAGAGTTAAATTGCAAATAAAGTGGAGAAGAAAGAGCTACAAATAAAACAACAATGATTATGAATGTACAACTTCATTTTACTAACCACTAATATCATCGACTCATGAGGAAACCTACACAGATGTTTCTGTCCGATTTCATTGCTTATAGAGATACGACATAATGTTCTCATAAAAAATCTCAAGAGGATTTGGTGCTCATTATGATTTGACTAAACTATCGAATTTTAAGAGCTGATGACTCAATATTATAACGAACACGAATGTTAGTGTAATCAGTGTCTCAATAGAACCTCTATCAGTGACTCATGATTAGCGTTTACACAAACACTGGACATATGTGACAATGGTGTTACTTTCTTTTTCAAAAAAAAATCATGAAAATAAAATAACTAACCTATTGTTGGTATATCAATATTTGGAAGTATTGTTTCATTATATTGTGATAATAAATGTGATAATTTATTAAGAACGAATTCTCGATCATAAAAATTTGAAAAACTAAATGTACCAGCCTAAATATAAAACTATTTTAATATTCAAAATCACAAAAAAAGCAAACATTTACTCGTTCTTTTGCTATTATTAATAATGCAGATTGTGTTTCAATAGTTGGTAAATTTGAATTTTCTGGTTGTTTTTCAACAACCATTATATCACGAAATGGAATAGTTAAATTGACTTGATGATAAACCTTATTCATTTTTTTTTCATGAATAATTAATTTAAAAAAAACCACATCATTTTGAAATCTTACTTTACTAGCAAAACATACAAAATTGGATGATATATAAAGTTTACCAGATACATTTGAACGATTATATGGTGTCCATAGATGACATGTTTCTTCACCATCTAAACGTTCAATTAATGGTAAACGAAATCGACATCGATAAATTTCACTGCGAGTTTTAGCATCAAGATCACGTTTTAATTGTGATATTACTTTGGGTGCAGTTTTTCTAAACGGAGAAAGAAATTATAGTTGTTTTTTTTCTTCTCTTAATTATTGTTAACGTTATAAATTCTGGTAGCTTTGCTATTAGTTATAATGAACTGTTGCGTTTCTTCTGGCAATGGCTAACAAGAATAATCAAGAAAAATAAGTCTTATTTAGACTTAAAAAAGCGTAAGTGGATAATCGATCAGGCTGAAATTTTTCTCATAGATACTTGAAAGGATTCTTTAGAGGTAAAATCACCCATTTTCATTTTTGATCTTCGTATCCGGAATTACAAGGTTTTAAAAACTAAACCTCTGATTTCAGCTTCGAACTTTTATCTATTTTTTTTTTATAAAACAGAAAGTGATATTTCCATAACAGCTCAGTCAGATGAAATTTGATTGGAGTTGTAATGCATCCGTATGGGGTTCTATAGAAAACTAACTTTCTCTTATAAAATTCTCTTTGAAATTTTTTTTCTTGAACATGTATCTGACTATTTTAGGTGGTACTCTCTATCTGTAGTAAAAACTTCAGCCTGATGGTTTGTACTTTTGTCAAGAACTAGAAGTGACCATAAAGGACAGGTAAGAGACATTTAAAAAGAATCGTACGTTGCATTAATAAAATTCTCAATGGAACTAGTTGATTCTAAATGGGAGATTTGTTTTTAGTGTCGTTTATTCTCAGTTATCAATCTTAAAAATCGGATGATGCGAAAAAAGCAAATGTTGTTCTTCTATTAATATATTTAATGAAGCGAAACTGAAAAGTTTCAACACAAATATTTTTTAGACTTTGTCTAATCTCAATAGGGTCTATCGAATGAAGTAAGGACTCATCTGAAAAGTATTGAAGAGATTACGAAATTATAAGGATTCGTTTCTTTACCTTTGTGTAGACTAATCAGTCTGAAAATATGTTTGACTATATAAGCTTTTTCTTTTTTTTTTAAATTGATTATATCAAATAATACATACTTAGTCACAGCAGGAAAGAAATCTTCTTCACGAAAAGCACCTTTTTCAGATAATAATCTATTTAAAAAACAAACAAAATAATCCAATATTTCAAGACTACTACTAAAATACAAATACTTTTTAGCAGCAAAATTTGCTAATTGTTCCATCATTTGATATGTTTCTTCAATATTTCGAAACATTGAAAAATCATGAACATGAAAACGTGTACCAACACGTATTGTTTCTGATAAATATGCTTGAACACGTTCGAGTGACTGAAAAAAGAAAAAGATTTATTATTAAAATAAAAAATAAACATATCACATACAGTTATATCAGTAAATTTAAGTACAATAGTTATATCTTTACCCAATAAATATGAATAAAAGCATAAATAATTAACAGATAAATACAGCCAACCTTGACGAGGTACACGACCACGCCAATAAGAACAAGAATAATCTATGAAAACAGAATAGATCTAAGAAAAAAAAACATGACTTCTTTTTTATGTTATACTTACATGTGACAAGTTTCTCATCTGTTGGTACATTAAATAATTTGTGGAATTTTTTTGTAGCATTTTTGAATTTTTCAGATTCGAAATCTATTATTATTATTTTATTTTAATATTAATATTTGTTTTATTTTTACCATCTATTTCATCTTCATCAATTTGTGCACATAAACTTTTTATTTTACATGCTACATAATCAGTTACATCAACACCTGCATCGATTCCTCCTATAATAATATTAATAAAAAATGATCTACAAATTAACTAGATTATTATACCAAGTGTTGGCATTAAATGTTCTTCAATCCATTTCCAATGTTCTTCAATTTCTTCTTTTGTATCTGCTTCAGCAATTACTAATAAAAGACAAAAAAAAAAAAAGAAAAGATCCGATAGAAATATGTTTTGTTGTCGTTTAATAAATTTAATTCAACGTACAATGATAAACTTCAGAATCAGGTCTTTGGTGAAGAATTCGATAACGATTTGTCTATCGAAAATATTTCATAAATAAATATTTTTGTTGCTATTTTTATATTACTTTGCTATCGAGTACAGAATCAATGGTAGCAACAAAAAGACTGGTAATACCACTGTATGCTTCATCATGACCTCGACGACGTTGTAATGCAAAATATGGATTAGCTCGATCAGTAGACCTACATCAAAAATTAATTGAATTATACATAGAAAACAACAATAATAAACAGTTTTACCAAAATCCTGTTACCTAGCAAAAAAGAAAAGAAAACAATATTATTTTAAAGTTTATAATAAGAAATGAATTTACCAGAACTTCTGAAGGTTTCACCCACATTATTATTGTCTTAATACAATGACAAAATACATAGTTGAAACGAATGATAGATAAAAATAAAGCAGCTGACCAATCAATCACATAAGCACAGATGATATGAGTGACTCACTCACTAATTCCTATTGTTGATTGGTTTTTATATTTTCTTTCGTTTTTCGATTAGTTAAAAATTGTATCTCAGTGAATTGTTAGAATGAAATATAATGTCAATTTAGAAAATTTCTGACATTGATTGTAGCGCTAACAACATCATTACCTGTTTCTTGTCGTGATTCATCTACATAGATATATCAAGGCACAGAATCGTTGATTAAAACAATATATGCATTCATTCAATTCTGGTCTAGCAAATATAAATATGAGTGACGTATACAAATATAAAAAAAATATTATTTTGTATGAAACCATATTTTTTTTAATGCAGATCGTTTCAGTGAAAGGCAAAATAGTATTTTTTCAGTTGACTTAATATCTACAACTGAAGAACGATTATACTTATAGAAAAATTTATGCAAAAATACTAAATCTGGTGCTATAACGAAAATATTTTGTATATACAAATAGATTCTATGTCTTTATAACGAGTGGCCTATAAAGAATGCGACACTTTTATTTTCGTTTTATGAGGTCTCATGATACAACTTAAAAGGATTCGTTGTACGCTAGTTCGATAAAGTTCGTGTGAGGCTGACATGTGAAACACGATACAGATGCCGCTGTTACTAATCACATGAAGATTATTTTATTTGTTCTATTTTTGGACATATTTTCTTACCATTGTGTTACTTAAGTTCTAGATATGAGATAAGGAACTATGTGGTACTTCTATTATAACGAGACGTTAGTGGTATGCGGTCTCAGTACTTATAGATCATGTTGCATAAAATAGGAAAGACTGAGAGGTATTCAAGTGCGACGGTGAAACAATTCTAAAGTTATTAAAAAGTTTCGTTTTTAGAAACTAGTTTCCATTGAAATATGGCACATGCTGAAAGATACCTCATTAGGCTACATGGCTTAATGTTTCAAGATTTTAGAGAAAATATTTCAAAGAGAAGTTTCTGAAGTAAAAATTCGAAAACACTGCAAAGATCGTTTTTTTGACTTGCCTGTGCTATTATATGGTCTTAACTGGGAAAAATTGAAAGGTTTTCGTTTTTCAGTTTGAAGTGACATTGTTTTATTCAGGATTAAATTCTGTTTCAGGCAATATAATAATCAATCTTTCGTAGAGTACGTCTGATTTTTGACAACATGAATTTCGAAGTTGTATCCAAAAGAAAATGCCATCATGTGTTAGTTCCAAGAAGTGTTGCTCCTGTGAACGACACCATTATGAGTCTTGAAAGGATCTTGGAAACATAGACCATGAAATTCTCAAGCTATTGACGCGAAATATATTACATTTTTAATGTTGAGTTTGATGAGCACAGGCTTGTACAAAATCATTAGATGTTTTCAGAAAATAATACATTTTAGCGAGCAGTTGAGTAGTTGTCAGTCTTTCCAATTTTTCGTGCACAAGATATAAACTCATTTGAAGCATCTAGTCGATAATTCTGTAGAATAAAAAAATTCTCTATCGCATGACATAAGAATAGACTCTTCGAGCATTGTTTTGAGTCTTCATAGAAAAATAAAAGAAATGTCCTATTCTTTATGGGCTATATGTTACATTGAGCAACTAGAAACTTTAGTACTAACAAAAATATGACTTAAAAAAAGGTAGCATAATCTTATTGTTATAAATCTCTAAGGCATGAAGATGATTTTATGAAATTGGACAATCTATATACATATCTTATTCATGTGTTATGCATTAGTCTTTAGTAATCAAGTTAAATGAATGTTGTATAGTTTGACTATATGATTTAGAAGGCAAAAATGATCTTTAAAATGGATGTCAGAGCTTATATAAAATAGTTGAAAAAATGATATGTCAGCCATATTTCTATTAAGAGTAATAACAATATGTTTTATCAGAGCATGACGTTTCGGAAACAAAGAACAGTTTTTACTTGATAAGAGCTCTTTACATAAATGGTTTACTTGCAATTCAAGTTGAGTTAGAATGTTTGTTTGTTTCGTCACTATCCACTACATCATGATCTATTTTTTTTCCTTTTAGTCATGTATTGTTCAACATGAGGATGTGGGTGTGTGAGAATAAGAGATCCATCTGTTTTCTCGCTCATCCCCTCACACCCACATCCATGTTTTAAAAATTGTAACATGTAAGTTTGCATCCATTCGACTAATAGATGCTCATAATTTTTGTTATCATTTATCAGTCTTGATGATGTCGTTTATATGATGAAGCAAGAGACTTTGTTTCTTTATTTAAAACGAAGAAGCGATGAATAATATCCTTTCTTACAGGGTCAAATCAGATCAGTTTCTTGGTTAGAAAAGCAAGACGAGTAGCATTAGAATTGTTGTCGTTGCGACAAATCGTTCAGATCAATTTGCGAGATAACACTAGCATGCTGAGTCATTTTGTTGAATGGCTGTTCAACGTAGATCTTTCGACGATTTCTCAGTCCAATTAACATCAGACGCTTTTCATTCATATTTGATTGTTCAAGAAATGCTTTTCGTCGATAGACAAACGTCGGATTAGCTATTAAAAAGACGGCGATATGCCATTTACGGTGTGCTCGGGATAATTTTTTCGTTGATTCGAGATATTGCCGCAGAACATGACTGACAAAAAATAGCATAACCGGATGTCGATGAGCACATTCCATATGAATGAAACCACAGTAAGCACTGAAACCTTCATCCATTGTTTCTAACTTTCGTCCCATCGTTGCATAATCCAACCGACACATGTACACAATGCCACCGATAATACCTCGCCCTATACGCATTATAGAAGATACCAAACCGAGAAAAGCATCGAGAAAGAAGTTGAAATAAACGAATACCATGAATAGACGTCGATTTTCAAGCGACAGAACATTGCCGGCTTGTTGAAGAAAGACATATTGAGCCAAAATTTTGTTCAAATAACTTTTGAAGGCGATAATAAGCAAAAGCGGAATAATACTTTTGAGAATGCGTTCGACAAAGCGAACACTACCGAAGCGAATAAGTGAGCCCATAATCAGTGTGATGATGAATGCAATGATTCCAACAAGAATATAACCCCATAAAAGATATCCAATGAAATAGCCGGCAAAATGGACATTGCCACTGGCATGTTGGATGCTATCTGAAGATGTTCGTCGCGGAATTTCACAATCATCACCACGAAAAACTTGAAGAAGATTTCGACGAATAGCAACGAGCATGACAAGTAATTGAGTGATAATGATCGCCAGAGTAATGACAATTGCTATTAGATAAGCTGGAATGAAATTGGGAAGCGGAAAGTCTGACTTTACACTTGGATTGAACTTTTCTCCTGATGGCTTGATTGCACTGATACCGATATCGATCATTACTTGTAAACTTTGCTGCATTCTATACAGCCACGGCAGACCACGAAATATCATCTAAATGAAAGGAAAATTCTTTTTACAAATCGAAAAATATCTTCACTTGGTGGAAACATAATTAGATCGATGCTTAACCTGAACGGTAATAAAGAAGAGAAGAAGAAAGACGGATGCATAAACCGAGAGAACACGTGAAGAAAATCGAAAATCATCTCGCCAATGGTAAATCTTTGACGAAAACCACGTCCATCGGTAATGGAAGGCATCTTTCGTTGTCATTCCGAACAACTTCCTCACGTACTGAGTTTCTACCGAATGGGGTAACGATGAGTACAACAGAATTTCCTGTTCACGCGTCAATCCATCGAAGATCCTCTGCCGTTGTCGAAGACGTCTGTACAGCAATATTGGTAATTTGATACTGATATAGGCCAAACATAGATACTGAGGAACATCGGTACTGAGTTGAAAATAGAGTAATTTCGTTCCAATACCATAGAAATTGAATTTTTCAATCAATTTTACTCCTTCAGTGGCATTGAAATTTCTCTCGGTGGGATAAAACTCACTGTGGCATAAGCTGCTGTGGAAAATAGCAACGGCAAAATCAAGCCAAGCATATAGCGTAGCACAGCATAGAGTAAATACAGTATTCAAATAGACAGCAGCAAGGATAGGATAACGTCGAAAGCCAATTATGAGAACTTTCGCGATTTGGAGTAAATAAGCTAAAACCACCCCTAAAACGAGAAAGTCACATTTCGGAGTTTCAGTTGACTGAGGCTCAATTCTGCACAGAAAAACCTTGGCCTGATGTTGTATCACCACCACTGATCAATTCATTAGCAATGTCCAACAATTCGTCGGCGTAAATAGCAAAGACTACTGCAACAAACGTTCGTTTGATATGAGCGAAAAAGTCCACCGGCATTGGTATAGCTCCATAACCCTGAAACCAATGACCTGTTCTTGATCGAGTCTGTTTCGTCATAATAGCAAACATAAGGACAAGTAGACAGGCTAATGGAAAAGTGATAATATTGAATTCCTCGCGCAATTCAATGATCGAGCATAGAGCATGTCGTTGAAAGAAGAGAGGTAGTTGCCGATCGAATTTAAAAGTCATACTAACATGAATCGGTTTAACCAGAATCCATTTGATTAACAAAGCCATAAAACAAAGTAGAACCGTGCTCAGTCCCATCAGACAAGAATAGAGTTTCTGAGATGAATGGTGGGTCTGTAATGAGATCTTCGAAGGTTTTTGATTTACTTTAGGATCATTGCGTCTATAATCGATCAAAAACACTGAAATGGATTTCAACAATTGGATCTTACTTGAATTTAGTTTCCAGTGGCACAGTTTTGCGTCTCTTGTGTATGTAACGAATCAGAGTAATAGCATAATACAGGGCCATGATTGATCCTAATGTTACACCCAGAGCAATTACTTGTTTACCACTACTCGATTCTGTAAATCAGAAGAAAATGGTGTCATGTCCTATGATCTCCGTTCATTACTCTCTTCTAATATGTTGTCCACAACGAAAAAGATAAAATTTCACTTACGTTCATCGCACAGCGTTCCTTGCCACCAGAACTTGCACTCACAAATCCATTGACCTTGCTCATCATCACGACAGTAACCATATCGACCGCAAGGATTGTTCATCGAGCAATCTGAACATCAGAAGGTAATGTCATAAGTAAAGATTCTTCGTTTTCTTTGAGAACTCACTATTTCTCAGTATCTGTACTTTTTGCTTACTGTACATGATTGTGCAGAATCAATGCAGAAATATCGTATGTTCGGCCCAAGACCTCGTCTTTTGTTTCGTTGATACTCGAGATTAAATCTTTTACGGCAACAAGACTTGACTGGCTTTCTTTTTTTTCCGTCGATAAATAGAAAATATGCACCAGCCGAGTGTAATGGCAGATAGAAACAATCGAAAGTCAATATAGCAATGTTGCGTGATGAATAGAACCAACTTATTTGCTTTTCTTGTGAATCTTCTAGTCGAACACAACGTGCTCTTTACACTTTTTCTCTTATGAACACAGAAAAATGATAATAAAAAAGAATCGGTTAAGTGCCCAAGTTTTGAAGTTCTGGAAATGATATGAATTCATATGTGTATGTCTGATAATTCACGAGAACGAGACCTAGTATGATGAAGGAACACAGTTGAAGAGAACGAATACGTTTTGATATGGATAATGAGTTTTTGAAGATTCATGTAAAATATCACATGGACACGTCAGAAAAAAAATATACTTAAACTCAATTTGCTTTTGACGTGACGTTGCAAAATGCTACGGAAGCATACGTGCTTGATATCTACTTTGGATACTCCTCCGTACGATCTTCTTTTTTTCTTTTCTTGTTTAACAACTGTAGCACACATTAGATTTTGTTCTAGACAGACACGTATTGCTGACTACGCAAAATTCATCGCGAATCTAAAATGTAGAATATTTCGTGATGAGTAGAGATGGTAAAACATCCCTATAAGATTTTAGTATGAATTATCTATTAAAGAGCATAGAACGATATTTTTCTTGAAACCCTGTTTTCGCTTTCTGTCTATACACGTTTATCATAATCTGATTCTTACTTCAAATGAGTTTGATAAAACATCATATCTTCCAATAGCCATATGTTTGCTGTTTAGGAATCATTTTTTATTGTTGGGTTTCTTTTTCAAATCACTTTTGATCAGTTCAGACTATTAATATGCAGTTTTTTACTATTTTATAACTGAAGAGTCTGCCATTTCCTACTTTTAGAAACATATTCATGAGCTTTTGTACAAAAACATCCTTTTCAACTATTTTTCATTGCCATCACTCGACGTTCGGTGTGGTAACAAAACACTTGAGTTTGGGTATAATTTCATTTCTCCCAATGTGTCTTCTATACATTTAAAATATTATTTTTTATCTAAACACAAGCAAGAACAGATTGTTATGTTTCACATTGCCAAGTGTCATACTGAATTTTTTTTCATAATTTATGTACTCGACCAATATTACAGAAACTTCTAGTATTCACTTCTTCAAGATGCTTTTCTGGGTTTCTTCTATAAATTCTGATAGTTATTAGACGCTAAAGTGATGACGTTTATATTGAAATGGGTGTGAGGTCTGCGATTGCTGGTTTGAAAGTGAGGAGAAATCTTATATGAATCCACCCACTCATATCCTCCTTGTTTTGCTTTTGCTTTTCGAGTACCGTTATTGGTCCACTTTTCTACTGAGATTAATCTGATCTTCTCAAGTTAGTTGTTTCAATCGATGTATGAGTAAATATAAAGATAGTTCCTCAATAGTATTACAAAATTCTTCAAAATATAAACACGATTCTGTATGGGGATAGTCGGCAAAGAAAGGCGCTTTCTCATTCATTCTCAATTATCTTCAAATCAATTTATATGAGTTCAAGAATATCTGCTAGAGTCGATGTAAAAATTAGCTAAACTAGGTCAAAAAAGTTATTCAATCATAGCTGAATCAAGTTGGAGTATCTACAAAATACAGTAGATCTACACTAACTTAAAAAACATTCTTTCATCAAAAAATTGCATCTTCTACAAATTACAATATTTTTTTTTAAAATAAAAAATAACTTTTTATTGAAATTTTTCAAAATGATTTATTTCTTATAAGCGTTCTCATTGATTAAACCTTTCAACTGTAACTATCAAATTCAATGGTTTTATAGAAAACTAATAAAAATGACAAGTTCAAATCAACCAAAAATTTAAAAAAGCTTCATTTTACTTAAACTTAATTTTCTTAATTTTCGGAAATAAGTTGAATTGCTGTGTACTCGTGTTGAAGTACCAAGGCAGGATTATTCATTTTTTCGCAGATTAATACACATATTCTATAACTTCATGAATTAAGTATGGAGTCTTGACAATAGGGACTTGTACACTATTGAGACTATCGTCCATTCTATGTTTCAAATGTGGAGATAACTGATTTAAAAGATGAAAGTAACAACATTTTTTTCTAGATAGAGTACGAAGTATGTATTTCTTAATTAGGTAACGAGAGGTGATAATACATTTTTGTACATTCTTTTTCATGGGGACAAAACTTTTTTTTTTATCTAATATGGACACGTGCGTCGAACGTCAAAAGTAAGAATAGCTTTTTTTTTGTATATGTGTGAATGAAGCAGGGTGCATTGCTTAATTAGATAACAAGCAGTGACAATCGTCTTTTGTATTTTTTTTCATACAAGCGGCGCATTTCTTTCAAAACACATGTATATCTGCATTAATATATGAAGGTAACTATATTACTTTTTCGAGATTCATAAGCAAAGAATTATTTCTCGCTGATTAATGTATTCAGCTGTGACTTTCGTATCTTAAACATTTGCTTCAGCAATTATCTTTTTCATATTTCAAATCGATTTGCCTCGTGTGATCAACTACGAACATAAAGGCATTTTTTAACACATTGATGTACAATGTATGCAGTTTAGACTTTTGCAGGTTCGTGTTCAGTAGAGGTATCATTTTTCTGTTAATTTAAAAAAAATATTAATTGTTTTTTTATAATTTGTATTTATTTTAAATATAAATAATGATAACTGATTTTAAATATTAATGATTTACAGTTTAGTCTACAATTTAGTAAATTATAAACTAAATTGAGAGTAAATATAAACTGATACCCGTAGTGTTTAGAATATATTCAGAATCTATTTTTCAGAATGCTATCAGAGCTGGGTAAGTACGGACTTTTTTGAGTACGAGTACAGCGAAAGTTGCAGCCAAGAACAAAAATTTTGAGTACGATTAGTTGGGAACATGTGTTCAACGCCGTGACAGCATTTATTATGAAATATTAATGGGTACACTTTTAAATAAGATCGAGATTGAAAGAAATTAGTTGTCTGCTTCAACTTCAAAGCGTATAAATAGTTACCTAGTACCACTCATATAACACATTTTATTTAAAAGGACAAAAGCAGATAAGACCACTTCCGATCGCTCAAAAGTTTTAGGTTTCTTTCTTTTATAATGATTTGAAGTGAATCCTAAGCTTTTACAAAATAGATAAATAACAAAAAAGAGAAAAAGATCGATGTGAAGCTAGCACGACGAGTAGCTATCACGGTGGATTTAGATGAGCTTGGAATCTGTAACGCTGGGCGCTGTTGGGGCGGAAGTTGAGTGAGGGTGCTCGGCAATGTGTACCCAAGCACCCACACCCAGATCCCGCCCCCAAAACTCCAAGTATTCAGGATTTCAGATTTACCTAAATCCGTCGGGGTAGCGACTCGTCGTGCTAGCTTCACACCGATGAGAAAAAGTAACAAATATAGAGTGAATAACAACAGAAGTAATGACAACAGAATAACAGGGTGTGGGGGTAGGTAGAAATGCATTCCCACCGATATCCATTTTTACATCTTTGAAAGATTTCCTCATTACTCTTGGGCAAAAACAAGTACACAGTTTCTGAGCCCATATTTGGGAGGGACACAAAATCCTGACTCGAACCACAGTTCTTGACTCATCTCGAAAACTTTCGAGAGTCAAAAAAAGTCAAATATTTTGTCAAAAAACTTTTCGATAACTTGTTAGGTTAAAGATTCAGTCGAAATTTAAGATATGGAAGCTTCTAGTTATATATCATAATATGGCACAATCGAGAGAGTAAGATAAAGTTCTAGAGACCGATACTCTATGTGCCGATTTCTTTTCTGTTGTCTTCAGAAAGTCCTGCTTCAATGCCGTCAAGAAACCTTATAATATTTTCGAGGAAGCCTAGTGAAATTATGTAAAATGCGAACATTAATTTCTTTTTCAATTGGAAAAAATTGAAATTCTGGCAGAATCCTGATCGTGAAAGAATGGAAAGCTGCTCACAAGTCTTCTAAGATGTTTTTTCGAATCTTGAACTGCGTATAAAGAGACTATTAAAATCACAAAAAACGAGTTTTCGTCGATTCAAATAACATACCTTTAATTGATGATAATCAAAAGATGATTTAAAAAATCAAAATTTTATCTATCATTTTGATTAGTTTTGATTAAAACCACTATATAATCGAATTTTTGCATCAATTTTCTTTACATGAGATCAAGATTTTTGATATTTCGTGGCTACACAGTTCTTTCAGGGTTAACGGTTTCCTGAACCAATGCTTAATTTTAAATCTAGTAATAAAATGATCATGCTCTTGATTGAATCCCTGTTTCAAGCTTTGTCAGGATCTTGAAAATTTAGTCGTTTTCTCAGGAGAAAACTGTGGATCTTTGTAAGATTCTTATTAGACCTGTGAAAGATGTAATGCAAAAACAGCAAAAAATTTCGTTAGGGCTGTCCAGAAGCGTACAAGATCGAGTTTTTTTTATCTCATGTCCGATTTCAGCTTTTATAAATTTCGATGCTGTTGAAAAGAGAGTCGTGTGAATGAGTTGCTCCTATTGGCAAAAAAACACTTAGATATAGGCTTCCTCGCTTTCGGTCTCACTAGCCATTTCCGCCACACTGTGAAAGATTTCGCGATATTGGTGCTCATCTGTCGAGTATTCGATCAATAAAACTAGCAGACTACACAAGTACACTTGTCCTACGACTTAATCTTGTTCGAATACAGTCTTAAATTCGACTTTAAAACATTTATTGTTAATGAAAATGAAACTCGGATTTTTCGTTGTATTAAAATGAATGCAGTACTACTCTGAAAAAAAAAGCAGATTCAATACGAAACCTAAAAAACATTCTGAAATTTGCAACAAATTCGAAACTTTTTAAAGGTATTCTACAGCTTTATAAAATCTTCACAACGTTTCACTGATTTTTGCAATACCTTCTAAATTTTTCGATTTCGTTTGAATTTTCGAACTTTTCTAATTTATCTTTTTTCAGTGCAAGAATCAGTGGAAAATCACGTGATCTATTCGGAAGAATTCCGAAAATATCAAAGTTGGTCACTTAGAGACAGCAGATCAGCTACACTGACCACATGATCACACTATCTGAGTAGCATCAAAAAAAAATTCTAAAATGATATCAGACGTTACTATTAAAAGTTTGAGACACACTGACGATGGTTGCGATAAAAAATGATAGTGGATAGTTTATAGACAGGGATTTAAAACAAATAAAAAACATAAAATGGATAATTTTGCATGTGATAAAAAATGTCCTATAATAGATCATCAAATTACGGGATGATTCAAAATGCAACCTTGAGCTGTCATAATGGACTGTGAAGGGAATAAGAAATCTAAAATATCTTCGTTAAAGTATATATATCTGACTCTTTTTTTGGATGCTTATAGATTACTGAATGCTAAGTGGCAACAAATTAAAAAACACCAAGAAATGATAGACTACTCTATATCATCAAGCAGAAAGCAAAAAAATCAGAGTTCAAAGGATTGGCAGACAATTGACGATAACGAATCACCGGCCCAGCTACCTCAATCAATATGAAGTAGACTTCACATCGGTTCTGGTTTCACGATTGTCTCCTGATTTTGCCTGAAAATTCTGATTTTCATGGTTTCTAGCAAATAATCGTAAACAGATCCGATCACTAGGTTTTCTCAAACTTTTTGATGATCAGGCGATATAGATTTTAGGTGGTATAAGGAACTGAACTTTGATCATTTCAGAAGAAATACTTTGCTCGATCCAAATCTATAAAAAAAGACAAAAAAGTTTACGCTTTGAAGAAATATATAGCAGTAGTGAATTGTTCTTTCAAAATTTTAGTGTCAGTGTTCGTATTTATCTATTAGTAATACTATACAGCATTTTCAACAACAGTAAAATATACGTTGCAAACCACACTAAAATCTTGCGACAGAGTACATCCTATTAGTCACTGAACTTTATGCAAAGGACGAAGGATTATTATTCGAAGAAATTATGATAATTTCGACGATCTCTCTCTGCAAAAGTCAAGTTCTTCTCAATTTCAGGTATTGAATTATTTTTACAGACTCGAAACTCTGAAAAGCATAGAGAGTACCAGGTATGCACAGGACTTCCAGTTCTTTTGATTTTTTGCCTGGTTTTAGATATGCATCCCGCAGTTTCAGTAGAAGTCGAACAACTTTAGTATTTATGATAATTATGCCTAAAACTATGAAAACAAAACAATTTTGTCTAGTTATATTATATTCCTTAAAAGGTAAAATTGTGAACAAGGCTAGCAAAAATCTTGTATAGTAAATATTTCGATGCTTACTAATTCTGCTTGTTTCTAACTGATTCTAATATTTCCCATACATTTTCGGAACTATGATCAAATCATTCAATCATTTGGTACCTTTTGTTCGATTGACTTTACATGTCGATCTGGTATAATCGAGCGAAGTATTTCTTGTGATAGCATACATATTTCGTTACTTCTCAACAAATCCTGATTTTTGCAAAACAAGATTGAAAATGACTGTCAAAGTTTACAGCGAGAAAAGTGAACCTCTCGGTAGTGGTGTCAGTACTTGTGTTCCTTGAAGAGATAGATTTTCAAACACTTTGAATTATCTAACTATTCTTGTGCACTTTTTTTTGCGATGAACTGCTATGAGTTCTTAGGTACGGAGCTGAAAACTGACAGTCTAATTTTGAATCCGAAAATCTGAACTCGAATTTTGATGTCGAGACATAGTACATCTGAAAGAGCATAACCTAAAATCTATTATCTAACACTTTTACACGAAGAGGATACGATGGAAGGAAACGGTGACAGAACGAAACTTTGTAGTGCAATCCTAATGTGTTTCAAACAAGATCTTTTATTGCATGCTCCTCTGTTTAAGCTATTGACATTTTAGAAACGCAAAACAATGGATAATAGACATTTGACTATACACTTTCTGAAGCGCTAGGTTTTGACATCAAAATTCGGCTTAATTTTTTCGGATCTCTAGAAAACCAAGAACTTTGGATCCAAAACTAGGAGTATCAGTTTCTATTTCCATTTCTAGAAACAACGACCGAGAATATGGTTTGTGATTCTAGCAACATAAGCCACATTGTGGGTGAAAGTTCTAGGGAATGGAATCAGAAACCGACATCCGTACTCGTGGGTATTCTCGCATTTTACAAGTAATCATAACAAAGTGTATACTTATTCATAGTGTACTCGCAGTTAATTTATTTTGCCAGTACATTCTTCATATCTATTTCCAGATTATTTTCATGGCTAAGAAAAATGCGCTGCTCATATTTCCTGTATTAACCTCAGCGCTCATTTTGATTATATTATTTTTACTGATTTCTGACATGAAAACACACTTTACCACGGCAACAGCTAGTATGAAGAGCCAACTAGCATGGAGATCATCTTATTCCGCTCCAGAGATAGATACATCTAGTCAAGGTCATGGTTGGAAAGCAGTTGGGCATACATATGATGAGCAAGTTCGTCTTCGAAATATATCTAGTGTTGTTGCTGCCTGGCCCAAAGCTGCTGAGGACAACGTGCCTACAGTTCCATGTTTATCAGCTGACGGTCATTTACTTGTACTAAGTGCTAGTGCAAGTCGTGTGCGGTATGGTGTGAGCGTCACTTTCATAATGGTCAATCCAACTGATATGCCATATGTTTTGCCGAAAAACAATTCAGCACGGCCACTCTCTCCTCATGAACTGAGTCTGTGGTGTATTTTTGATGATGGATCAGTGACACCTGCATACAGTTACGATTTGAGAGTTGGTACTGAATGTGCATCTCTCGTCGATTGTCCACTTAGTCCGTTTGGTAGTAGTCAATTATGGCGATACAATCGAACATTGCGAGTGTATCTTGCTTCAACAACAGACAAAAATCAAAATGCACCCATCTTGAAAGCCTTCATCACTGTTCCAACACCTTCATTACTTCAATCAAGTTCTAGTCAACAATCATTAACATTATGTACTTCACCATTGCACAATGGAGCTGAATATTTAACTCAATGGATAGAATTCCATCGATTGGTTGGTTTTCGAAAGTTCGTCATTTACAACACAACCGACACTCATCAACGCTTGTTATCTGTTATCAATACTATCAATCGTAAATATTCGAATCTAGTTGATGTTGTTCAATGGAATTTCTCATCTCTTGCCCTGACCGATATGTTGACGATACGGTACTTTCAGATGGAAGCTTTGCATGATTGTCTGATTCGCTATGGTGATCAATCAGAATGGTTAGGTGCGCTCGATCTTGATGAGTACATTGTACCGCTTGTTCCATACCAAACTGTTTTTGAATACTTGCACGACAGCTTTCATCGACGTATCTTTGGATCACTCAATCTGAGAAGTCATTTCTTCTGCTCGAAAGAGTCTGATAGGTATACATCCGAAGAGAAGAACACTAGTCGGTTAGTTATCGACCGGTTTGTTATTCGTGCACGTAAACGTCATGAAGTGGGACGTGAAAAGTATCTTTATCGACCACGCTTTGTCCAATATTTATCTATTCATCGTGACGTCATTGGGGTTAATACAGAACAGCCCTCGCCAGATCATATATCATTAGCTCACTATGTGTCGATGAGTCAACCGCGAAACATGCCAGGCTGCAGCAGTAATGAACAATATGCGATAGATACGAGCGTTCGAGACCGATTTGCGAAAAAAGTCGAGGATGGAATAAAATATTTGACAATCTAACAATTTTTTGTGATAGAAACGTTTAGTTTTGTGCAAATCTTTAGTATTTTCAGGACTCTACAAATATGAATCACATATTCCATGAATATTTCGAAGAAGTATCGATTGTGATTGTTTGAACTAGACATCGTTATTGGTTGAGACTATCTATCCCATTTCATATATCTCTCCTTATTATTATTCTATTTGCAAATTCATGAACTCATCGAGCAATCTTCTACAGAATCACGTACTCTAATGTAATTTCAAATTCTATCATAAATAGGTTTATTGCAAGATGATGAAAAAGCTAGATCTTCAAAATGGTAGAGAAAGCAAACACTTTTTTGCTCAGATAACAGTTAGCAGGTAAAGGCATTGTTTAATTTTCAAAAACTCAGCTATCTCGTATTTCACTACTTTTCTTGTTTATTTTACTATCGATTTTTTCTCAACTTCTCATTGGAGAAGGCCAAGAAAAATGAAATAGTAGAGATGTGATAGGTTTTTTACGAACAAGAGAAAATTTCAAATGAAAAAATCTCGACTAAGGTTCATAAGCAAATGTTTCAAAGTATTTCGCTTGTCATTCATTTTTTTCTTTTTTAAATTTAATAAAGATTCAATTCGAATTCAAGTACTTGATTGTTTGATGTTTTGAACAAGAAAATATTCAGAAGCAAAGTTGAGAAAATTCATATCAAGTATTGTAGATATTGAAGTATTGATTCTTCTTATAACTCTTAATCATTCACCAACATCATGATTCAATCAAAAAAGAAAAGAAAATTGTAATCATGTTGCGATCAATAACTATTCATGCATTGCCAATATGAAGTGATTCGGAAAGTTTATGCCAATATTTACCTTATGTTACGCTAAAGTGTGCTGCAACAGAGATGAAAAATCTATATCAAGTGAAGAAAATCGATACAAACTAATTTAATAATAGTTTATAATCATAATATTCCTATTATGACAACAAATGTTTGAAGAATTTTCTACACAAAATATGTCAAATATATTGAGTTTATGAAGAATCATTTTGTTTCATACCAATTTAAAAGTAAAACATCGAGCTCAATTTAGATTTCTGGACTTTAAGTCAAAAATCAAACTGGAAGAAATATTTGGACCTAAGAAGTTTTTTCATTCTTTTTCGATCTTATTAAAAAGCTCATAAACACATTGTCATGACAACACCAAAACAACATGTCGAGTGAACAGCATTGCCATGGCCTTTTCGGAATGTTCCTAGTACTTTGTATTCCAAATTTTTTTTCATTGGAAGATGTGCCCTGTGACACTGTATACTTCAAAACTGATTGATTTAATCAATTATTATGGTTTGCTTTGCTTTACAACATACGTTACGACATGTATGAAACATATGATTTTGATCAATTTTTTGTGATCACAAAATTCATAAACGAAGGTAATCTTGAAACTATAGTTTTTAACAGACGAATATATTGGATCCAAATTATCAAGTCGTTGAAGTATCATAATTTATTGCCCAAAAATTACCAAAATTTGAATTTCTGACTGAATTTGTATAATCTCTCAAGCTAGCAACCTCATTTTACAAACTAAAACTCTTTGGCAACAAATTTGAATGATGATCTCATGGACTTTCTCTTCATAAGTAGTGGGAAAATCTCATTTAATTGTGATCAAATATATTGTACTAAATCTTCGTCTGAATGAAAAATAATGCGAGGATAGAATACATGACTATTCGTAAACGTTTACCGAGATTGATAAAAACATTAAAGAGCGCAGAAAGTTTATAGCATTCGTTTCGATCGTAATGTCAAACAGATGAAACACTATTGATGAAGTTGGTTTTTTTAAACAGATTTCCTTCACTTTTGAGATTTAAACGAATGCATTATTTCACAGTAGAATATTTCAAAATTTGTTCGATAATACTGATCGACTGTTGAGTTATTGTAATGATTGTTTATATTAAAAATGAGCACAAACAGAAATCTACTGATCCCGTTATGTGTTGTTTTAGACTCGTCACAATAAACACGAAAATCAATTTTTCACAGAAAAATATAAGATTATTATGATCAAAACAAGTATTAACAGAAAGGTATTTCATAAACTGATTCAAACGAGTACATGATAAGTTTTTATTGTTACCCTTCGATCATACTATACATTATTGAACATAACTCGACGAACTTTATCTATTATTATGACTTATGTCCATGTCAGAATTAAAGAGATGTGATGTAACCTTCATAACTCGATAACGATTACAGCTATTGACCTGCGGTTTCCATCAGTCGAAAACGGGAATTTCGAATGTCTTTTTACATGATACTATATGAAATAAAATTATTTTAGAAGTCATCGTTTTCACAAAAAATTCCAAAAAACTGCATGAAATCAATGCTCCGTCTGAAGAAAATTTACAAAGAGCCAACAAAATTCTATAGAATTTAACCGAATAGATACGTAATTTTGCTTACTCAACGTTGACATATACGAAGATAATCACCTGAATCGTCCCTTAAACTACAGATGTGAAATACATATCAATGTCAAAACTTCCTTGAAACAGAACACTATCTTTGTATATTCTTTGAAAGTTTTGTAAAGAAGATGCGTGCTAAAATAATTTTGTCTTATACAATATCAGACAACAAGACGTCTAAAATTCTGTTCTTTTGATTGCTGAAAGTTGTATGTCGATAGCTGTTGTCGTTGTCGAGTTATTGAGCTTACACCCACTTCTCTTTAATTTTGACGCGGAAATTAGTTTGAAATTACTTTTTCGAAGACTTATTATATATATTATTCTTGGGTGGCGTAGAATAAATGGTGGTGTCAATATTTTTTCAGCGTCTTATCCAGTTCTTATCATTTTGAAACTAATTGATAATCAATAGAATAAATTAGTCTTTTTGGAATATATTGTTATGAGATCTTTTAGTTCTTATAGTAATGTTGTTTTCTACTTTAAGTAATTTCGATTTTTAAACTTAAAAGTTTTTCATTCAAATGTAATAATCTAACTAATTTCTGCATTGGTTTTTTGAAGTCGAATGAATATTATTTTGAAAAATACCGAAACTGTCTTGGCATCATTCTTGAACTGTATGTTTGCTTATGGCCTCGCGATAGTTCTCGGAATTTTATCTAGTCCTGAGAACCATTTTTACTGAATAATTATTATATCAGAATAATGTTTCTACTGCCCTAAACGATAAGAATAAGTGCTTGACAATGATTGAATATTTAAGCGTGATAATACGAACTCATATGTTATCATATAACTAAGAGCTGGTGTCAAGACAGTTTCGATTGTTTTTAGAATATTCATCGGTCTTCGAACAATCAACACTAAAGTTAATTAGAGTATTAGATTTGAAATGAAAATTGTTAAGTAAAAGATTAGAAGAATTTATATTAAAAAACAACATTACTTTAGGAATTAAACAATGTAATAAAAGTATTTCACAAAAGCACAGAGTGAGAAAGTTTTTATTGAGTATCAAAAAATTATTGAACGCATTTTCATTGATAGAAATATGTAAGTCTGTAGAGAATTAAGAAGAGGAATATTTGTATTAAAAAAAGTCAGTTCCCATGTGAGGAGAACCGAATGAGATATTGAAAGAATATTGACACAGACATTTATATTCTCCATCAACCGTTAGTATTTGGATGTTCATAGACACAGACAAAATTATGGTAGAATCAACATTAATCATTGCTCGATTCAAAATAAAAAGCAAGTTACCATTTTTTGAGTAACTTTTGATAGAAACACCATAGAGACCTGTGGCTTTCAGTATTCAAGAGCGAAGATTCATTGCCATCGAAATATATAAAAATGTGTTTTGTCAGCAATTGAGCAATCAGGCGAATTCTTGGTGGTAGTTTTTCGAAAAATATATTCTGAAGCTATTTTCCTTTAAATTTAAATTGTTAATATAACGACGATTCGATAGCAAAACATTTTTCTTTCCAACAGTTATACATCTTTTTCAAAGATTATCAATTTCAGCCAATTGACCTATGATCACCCAAAAAAGCGGCCAGACAGAGGTAATTCATCAAGCTAAGTCGAGTGATGATATTTTTTTTCAGGTTCGAAATGATTTGACTCTATTACCTCAATAATGTCCAAACGTTGACTCCTTCATTACAGATGGAGATTGATTGTGGAAAGCCAGAAATATTGAGATAACAGAGTCCGACCATGTCAAACCTGAAAATAAATATCATCCTTCGAATCGGAGTGATAAATTACTCCTGCCTAGCCGCTTTTCTGGGTGACCAAAGATCAATTGACTGAAACCGAGGGCATCAAAAAAAGCCTTATAGATCTCGAATGAAACAAGTTAGGAATATTGGCCTTGTGCAGATCAAAAGAGAAGGATTTTTTTCCATCAACTTATCGTATTAAAATTCTAAATTGAAAGGAAAATAGTTTCAGAATATCAATTTCAAAAATTTTCATCAAGAACTCACCTGATTCAAAAACCAGCAACTATCTTTTTATTTTGACTCAATCAATAGTTTTCGACAATTGACTTTTACACATGGTTTACATTAATAAATTGATCAGACATTGATTCTTATCATATCTATGTTGCACGCTCAAAAGTGAATCATCGTGCTAATTCACTTTCATACTTACAAAAACATTGCCTTTACAAAGTAAAACGATAGAACGAACAATCGTTAACTTTGACGATTGGTAGAAATGATTTAACGACATTTATTTGTCTATTATTAGTTACTTGCTTACTTGATTAATAATTTAGTATAAGATATGGGTTAAAAAAGAATTATGACCTTGGATATTTGTTTTTATAAAAAAAAGACAATATCTATATTATTATATTATATTCTTATTCTTCTACATACATTTTACGATAATGTATGTGACAAAATTACGTTGCAACTTTACAAAACTATTTCTGTTCTATTATAGATATGGGTCGCATTCTTAGATTTATTTTTGGAACTTTATCCTTTATAATAGCATTGATTGCCATTGGTATTGGATATTTAAAAATTGATAATGCTTATCGACAAAAACGTACGTTGAAATATTTAATTAATTGTTATTCTAAGTATATTTTCATTCTATTAAATTTTTTTAGTTTTTGCTAGTTTTTTAAATAGTTTAACTGATCCTAATGATTCTGTTATGATGGATATACGATGTAATCAATTATTAAAACATTCTGATGTTAAAGGTCATGTTTTAGAAATTGGTACCGGTACAGGAATAAATTTTCCATGTTTACATAATAATACAAATATTAAATCATATACAGGCATTGAACCTAATGTTCATATGTATCCATATATTTATAATTTTATTAAACAATGGAACATTCCATATAATATTCGTCTATTAAATAATTCAGCAGAGGATATGCATGAAGTTGAATCGAATAGCATTGATACAATAATTATGACACTGGTGTTATGTAGTGTACCAGATCCGTTACCAGAAAAAGTTCTTCTTGAAGCACATCGAATATTAAAACCAGGTGGAAGTTTTCTTTTCTTCGAACATGTTCTTGCAAATGCTAAAACGGATCCATTTATTTATGGATTTCAAAAAACAATTGAACCATTATGGGCTATCATTGGTGATGGTTGTCGATTTAAGCTAATTACAAATTACTTCGACGCTATGAAAAACGTCTATTCAAAAGTTGAATATGAACATTATGATTGGGTTGCTCCGGTATTTTTTATTAAAGATGCTGTCAAAGGAAAATTGGTCAAATAAGATGTTTTTTTATTACTTTCTTTCGATTAATTAACTTTTTTTTATCGTAGTGTTACTTTTGTCTTTCATTCGTCGGAGAATATATACAGGGTGTGTCTCAAGAGTCATGATCATTTAATAAATACATATAACATTGGTATTAATAAAGCTTAATCAAAACCTTTTTATTTTGCATTTGAAAAAGAAGACTAGAAAATTTTTATTCGTAAAGATCAAGTTCATCAATAGTCTAGAAAAGATAATAATCTCGACTACAATTCAAAAACTGAATCTTCTTCAATTCTCGAAGAATATGCACTGTTTTTCTTTTTCGATATTTATTTGAATTTGTAGTGACATTATGGACTTCCGATCATTTGAATCGTTTATCCTAACTTGACAAACATTCGTTTTGATATATTCTTACGAAAAGAAAGCAAGAGAGTAAATTGCAATATCAAAATGAGTTATAACGAATAGGTCGAAAATTTTGACACAAAATGTTTGTTTATTTTTCTCTACCTTGAAAGTGTTTTCGAGCAGTAAAATTCTGTGGGTGATAACCAGAATTTTATGCTCTTTGTGAATGTAGGCTTAGACATTTTCTTGCGACCATTAAGATGATATTTTGAAAAGCTCGCGGAAAATTTTACCGTTAAACTTTGATACTTTCATTATTGCAACTCGAAAGTAAATGTTGACAAAATTATTAATGTATCAGCTTGTAGAGCAGAAGCTACCCTACAAAATGTACTATTGGAGTCTTTTCTACAGATCACTTCAATCTTTATTTCGTTTAAATCCTCATTTTTGAACAACTGACTTTTTGACAAATATACTTTTTGTATAAAAATGAGCTCTTAGCAAAGCACCTATAATTCTACTCACATAAAAGCTACAACTTACTCCATTTATAAAGAAGTGTTCACCCAACAAAACAGCTGATTCGGATTTTTTTAGTACTTTCGAAAATAAAAAATTAAAGCAGTTAGCAAGTTAATGATTTTACCATTCAATCTAACTTTCTGAACGTAAAAAAATCTTTCTCTAGTCTGGAACACAAAACTGTAACCATCATCCATAGTTTTCGGCTTGTCTGAGACAAATTTGATTAGATCAAAATGCATAACCGTTTCCATCAGAAACTTCCGCTCATATTGTCCATCTAAACTCATTTTTAGATCTTTCAAAGATTACCTCAGCACCCTCGAATAAAATCGGAGACGACATTTATAAGTCCATATTTAGAAGTTGCATCATATACTAGTCCTAAGTAGTGACTATCGTGACTGAAACTTGGTCATACACAGTCACGAATACTAAAACAATCACATATCTTGTGTTTATGTTAACTGCATTAGTTTTTTCACAACTCAAATAATTTATTATTCTTATTTATTGCAATAATTTCTTCTTTTTTTTCTTTTGAATTAAAACAACTAAACATAAGTGTTACAAGAAAAATTAGAACTTAGGAAGATTCTTAATTATCTTAAATGTTAATTTCATCTCTGGCAAAGACATCACAACAATCACAAAACATAATAAAATTACATGTTTTATTACAAATACAGTTAAACGAAAACACACGTATATGTTATTATTGTATGGAACCAAATCAAATTAATTAAGAACATAGTTTTCTTTTTCTTGGTTAATAATCTCGTCATTTTCATTCGTTCTTGCCTTTATGGAACTCTCGTCACAATAAACATCGCTTAGAAAAAGAGTTCGTGACTTGCAATAAACTAGAAAGAATGACTGTGATGAAAAAAATTTGGTTACGTCAAAGACTAGTCTGAACTCATGGATTTTGACTCATTGGAAACATTTTTAAGAGAAGCAAAAATAAACAAATATTTTGTTTCAAAAACTTTCGGCTCATCCATTAAAATGGTCTAACGAATTCGTTCCCAATATTATTTAAGTATTCGAAGAGCCACAAACGGCTTGCTGTGAAGTAATGCACCAATAATTCAATCTTTTAAAAATATGTCAAACAAATCATTAAAAAAGTAATATTCAATAATCCGTATGATCTGGAATTCATAATATCGATAGATATTGCAGCAGGCATAGAAAAAGATCTGGTTTTTTAAAATGTAGCCGAAGATATTACGTTTTCCACAATGTTGATGAACTTAATCTTTATGAATAAAAACTTACTAATCTTTTATTTCAAATAGAAAAAAATGTTTTGATTGAGCTTGATCAATAACGATGCAGTATGCATTTATTAAGTGGTCATGAGTTTTGCAACATCCTGTATATTTAAGATTTTCTTTGAAAGTATACTTTAAAATATACATATATATTTAATTGATTATAATATAAAACGACTTATATATATATATATGTAAATGTCATGATGGTTCTAGTTGTTATACTTGTGTATCCCACTTAGTAATGTACGGCGAAAGACGTGGTGGATTGGATAGAAGAACATGATGTTGATGTGGATCACTAGCTGATGATGAGGCTGATGTATTTAATCGATTGATTCGCCTAGAATGAACGTATTTCTGTTGTTGTAAGTTTGGACTAACGAATTGTTGCCTATTACTAACATTGACTGGTTCACTCCAATTAACCCAAAATAAAAGAAATATCCATGGATCTATTGATGATGGTGCTACAGCTGCGCCACCAGCTAAAGCTAATATCGAATCCGGGGGTTTACGACCAGTATAAGCAATGTATAATTCTAAACAATAGTATGGTGCACCAAATAAAACCATAAATAAAACAAGTACAATAATCTAGACAAGAAGAAAAAAAGAAATTTTTTTATTTTATTTTTTCTAAACTTACCATACGAAATGTTTTTGATCGAGCTTTTGCATATGTATTTACTCGTTTTCGTTGTATATGTAAATCATTCGATAATGAATAATTTGATGATGAACTCATATATGATTTATAATTCTGTTTTTTTGGAAATGTTATTTTGTTATTATTAAATAACTTTGAACAACAACAATAAGATGATGATGATGATGATGATAATGACGGTGAACTATTGGTAAACCAATCGTGTTGATCACGTTCACGACATAATAATTTGATAAAAATAAGCGCATAAGAAAGAACAAGAACAAGAAATGGTATGAAATACACAACAAGTGAAATAAATGTTAAATAAATTCGACGTCCTGTGGGAGATGAGTGATGGTTAAATATTGCTGTGCAATAACGAAGAGTATCATTAACATGTAAGTGAAATATAAATATATTCGGTGTTGATAATAGACCTGCTAGAGTCCATGCACTACCACATAAATAGAGTACCTATAAAAAGAATTGAACTTAGTATTGTTTATTTGATTTATTTAATGAGACTTACACGAATTTTTCCAGCTTTTAGTGGAGTAACAATAGCAATACAACGATCAATAGCCATTGCAACAACAATATATGTTGATGAAAGAATTGAAAAACTTTGAAAAAATTTTACGATTCGACCTAGAGAAAGAAAAACTAATTTTTATTTTTCGATTCCCATATATATATATATATTCTATAACATACAAAGTAGATCATTAAATGGCCACTGTCGATTAGTTTGAAATTCCCAATATATTTGTATACCAGTAGCAAATATATAAACAGATAAATTGGCAATAATTAAATTAAGAATAAGTAAACATATTCGAGCCGATCGTGTGTTCCACCGAGTATAACGTATTAGCCATATTAAAACTAATGAACAGCCAGTTAAACCAACAAAAAAAAGTGTAGACAGAAGAATTAATCGAGTATGTCGAAGATCACGACTTGAATCGTATGTTGTATTCATTGTCATTGATTATCTATAATAGAATACAATGCAAATAGTCAGATGATTATTCTTATTGAAATTCATGAATATTAAAAAAGAAGAAGAGAAAAAAGCAGACTAGTATAAAATGTCAACTACGCAACGCAATATGATTGTTAATGTAACTAGTCGTGTGTAAGGAAGAAGGTAAAATGAGGGTTCATCATCAATATTCTGTTCTTTATTTGATACCTTTTCTAAAAATGCACGCAGCTGATAAAAAAGTTATGAAAAAATTGAGTATAGATATATATAGATAGATCATGAAAAGCTCAGAGAATAAAAAGAGACAAGAAGAGCACTTCAGGCCGTTATTTTTTATGAATGTTCATTTACTGATGAAGCGTACATCATAGTAGTGTGTGGATCGAACGAGAAAACTTTGTCGTCATCAACGTTTAATAGAAAAAGAAAGAATGAAAAAAAAACGAGATATTTATTTATATTCCGGTCTTCTCTTTTTTCCGCAATTTAATTACTTTTATAGAAAATAACAATTGCATATGAACAATTTATTAAAAATTTAGTTTAAACTGTTTCAAAAATTCTAATATTTCTTTTTCAATATACTCAAGCGAATAAGTGCATTCGATATATGCATATAGTCGCATGTAGCTTTTTTAACGACGTATTCTGTCAAATTATATGCGTGCATTGGTTGTTAAGTGCGTGTGGATTCAATGAGCAAATCATTATAAATTACTATTACTATCCGTCATTATGTATTATCCAAAACAGTTAATAACCAGGCGATGTCACGGAAAGAAAATTGTAACACTTCGTTGTTTAAGAGTGAGAAACCTATTTTTAAAACAAAATAAAGAAGCAATCCTTATTAACAAAAAGGTCAAGAAGCAGAAAATATGATTTCAGACCAGACATCAATAATGTTCTTTATTTGAGAAAATTTCTAATTTATTTTACCAGTTGCCTTTTTTCTTCTAAATGTCGATTTTATGGTAAATATACTCTTTGAATAATAGATCAAAATATTATTTATTTTAATAGTATTCAGATAAAAACATGTTTGTTTTATTCATTGATAATATCATTTACGAATACACAAATAATTTTGAAAAAGAAATAAATAATTCTACTATTAATTCATAAAATAATTTATGAATTTATTTTTTTATTATCTATAATATTTTATTTGTATGCTTTTTATTTATGTAGATCAGCATCGGCACTACGTTCTTGTTTG